TATATATATATATATATATATATATATATATATATATATATGTATATGTGTGTGTGTATGTGTGTATATATACATATACATATATATATGTGTGTATGTATGTATTTTTTTCCCTGTAACATTTGAGAGTAAGTTGCAGACGTCATGACCCTTTACCCGTAAATACTTAAGGGGTATATTTCTTGAGAATAAGGGTATTCTCTCACATTCTTGCTGTATACTGATCAAAATCAGGAAATTAGCAATGGTACAATACTGTTATATAATCAACAGTCCTGACTTAGATTTTGACAGTTGTCCAGTAATACCCTTTATAGACCAAAAGAAAAAAATTTCTTGTCCGGCATCCAGTCTAGGATTATATACTGCATTTAGTTGTCATGTCTCTGGTCTCTGTTAACTTGGAGTAGTCTCAGTGTTTCTTTGTCTTTCCTGACCTTGATTTTTTGGAAGAGTACATGGCCCCAACACTTTGTATATTGTTATCCTGGCCTGAACACTTTCTTCTCTTTTCATCACATCAGTTGAATCTGTTTCTTAGGGCCCAGAACTTTAGTAAAGCCTTCCTGAATACTGACAGGAAAAGCAATCCTGATTACTGACAGAGATTGCTTTCATTAGCCAACTTTTTAAAAATATCTTTCCTTGGTCTTAAATGTCATGACTTTTTTTTTTTTTTTTAGTTTATTTATTTTGAGAGACAGAGCAGAGGAGAAGCAGAGAGAGAGAGAGGGAGAGAGGGAGAGAGACAATCCCAGCAGGCTCCATGCTGTTAGCACGAAGCCTGATGTGGGGCTTGAACCCATGAACCATGAGATCGTGACCTGAGCTGAAACCAAGAGTTGGACGCTTAACCAACTGAGCCACCCAGGCACCCCTTAAATGTCATGACTTTTTAAAAAATTCTGTGTATAAAAGTATAGGAAAAAAAATGAAAATCTTTGTCCCTTTTTCCTGTCCTTTTTTTCCCCCATCCATTCCACCACTGAGAACTTAGTAGATGTACTTCTAGGTCATTTTCCATGCACATACACTTATTTTTTTCATTAATCATACCTTATCTTCAGAACATTGAAAGCCCATTAGAGAAGAAACCTGTAGCTTATACATTTGGCATCCTCCAAGAACCTGGCACAGAAATGGGAGATGTTCAATAAATGTTTATTGGTTTTTAGAGTTTTAAAGAAAGAGTTATGGTTGATATGATTATATGTTTAAATATGGAAAGTTCCTGATAAAAATCATCATTGTACTGTTTCTCTTTCTTAAATTTAGGTTGTTAAAGGCCTTACCTATTTGTGGAGTTTAAAGATTTTACATAGAGGTATGTACTGAGCTTACGAGCTCTAACTTAATTTGACACTGAGTGCGGACCACTCCAGGATACCTTCATTTTAAAATACATGATCTGCTATTTAAGCCAGCTGATATATTTGGTAATCAAAAGATGGCTGCTTTCTAAATGTTTTTCTTATCTTCTCCTTCAACTACTCTGATTTAGATTATAAACTTGGTATTTTTGTAGATGTTTACCAAACACGTAAAGGTATTTCATAACATAGTATTTGAAAATGACAGGATCTTATTTTTAATCTTAACTCTAGTTAATGCAAAACCTTCACTTTCTATACAATTGCATCCCTTCCCCTTATTAACATTTTAGATATCATCATACACAGTTCCTTAAGAGATGGCTTCGCATACCTTGAAAGGGAAACCTTAAACAAGGAGTTGGTGAATGCATCAGAAATTAGTCTCTGGGTCTATTGACAGAACACTTGAGAAGAATGATCAATTAAATGAATGCTGCAAAAACAAGTTCCCGTTGTGTTTTCCAACATTTCCAAAATGTCTGAATTCATTTGGAGCAAATTATTAAGTGAGAAACAGACTATAGTAAAGCCACTTCCGGGCCTCATGTTACTAACAGTCCTGTTTAGTTTTACACATCTGCTCAGCCTTGCTTTATGCACATTTGGGGAATGCACCAGCATACACATTACATGTGATTAAAGGGACTTTTTTTTTTAAAAGTTATAAGCTTTGAGAGTGAGTAAACAACTGATGCCTTCAATTGTGCTATCACATCTGTCACTAAGGGTTGTTTTTTGTTGTGGCAGTTTTACTATCCTAGTGATTTCAGATTTCTTCCTAAATCCCTCGTCCCCTCATGAAGAGGGTGTGTAAATTTTGACAAGCAAAACTTGCAGTTCTTGAAGGTGTTTATGCAGATTAACTGGAATCATGATCCAAATTTTCCCTTAAAGCCAGTCCAGTCTATCTCTAGGGTGTAGTTGGTAAAAAATGTAGATAGATGTAGGGAGAGTGAGCTGAGTTGTGTTAGTGTTACTTTTCCTGGGAAGAAATCATCATGTGAACACATCTGGTGGGTGAGAAAAAAGAAATGGAGCATTTTCAGCTCCAAGGTTAAGAGAGAATGGTATTTAACATCACATGACCTGTATTGCTTCTGTTCCCTATACTCATTAACCCATAAAGTGGTTATGGCCATTTTAATAGAAGTTAACACAGTGGTCAGTTCTTGTCATTGTATTGATCTTTATGGACATCTGCTATCCATTTGACAAAGGAAGTAAAGGAAGTCATCAATTCTCCATAGCAAAACCTTCATTAAAAGGACCTTGCCATGGAAATGCAAATGTTACTATTAAAGTGATCCTTAGGATCATCCTACACTGTGGGCATACAGCATACTTCTGGCTTATAGTGAATTCTCCCTAGTCATAACTTTCTCTAGAAGGGTTCATAGTGGCACTAAGAACTATATATAGTGGATAGGGAAATACTGTTTGGTTATTCTGCAGTCATCGGTTTTTCTTCTTTGCAATGATTGGTTTTAATTTCACCCTTTGTTTTGGAAAAATAATTGAATTTTTCTTTGAAAGATTATGCCTGGGATCTAAAAGTGAAGTCTAAGGTGTCTGTCAGATTCCCAGAACAACCATCTGTAATCACTTTGGCAAGTGTGGTTGACCACAGCCTCTCAGAGGCCGGTTGGTTCTTCCCAGCTCCGGATGCAGCTTGAGCAAAGAAAAGGTTCTTTGATCACTTAATGCAAAACCTTCACTTTCTATACAATTGCATCCCTTCCTCTTATTCATGTTTCAGATATCATCAAACCCTGTTCCTTAAGAGATTGCTTCACATACCTAGGTGATCTTGGTGGTTTTCCTGATGGAGGATATAAAGATTTCAAAAAAGAATCCTGAACTTTTCTTTTCAGTCTTTGCTGGCTAGCTCCGTTCCTATGGTGTAACCCACTGTAAAATGCTACTAGTTAAGGGAAGACAATACTGTGAGGGGCTGAGTGGGGGCACTGGTAATAGGCCAAGAAACCCTCCCAAGGGATGTCAGTCATAAATAAACACCAGGGAGTGAATGTGCATCTGCATCTGTGTAGATGGAAGGACTAATGAATTACAGTGCAGATGAACAGTTATTCCCCAGTAATTATGGGTACTCAGCTAAAGAAATAAGATGCGGTGGTAATATACCTCATTAAATATCTCTATACACTTTGCTTTTGAGTTTCCTAGTTATTCGTGAGAACTTTTACCTTCTGGATTAAAAGCATGTGTTTTTATTGAAGAGTGGACGAAGCCAGGTGTCCCTGAAGACTTTTGTGAAGCATTGTAATGAGAAATTTACTCTAGATTGAGTCGTTAACTTAATATTTTAGAGGTTTTGTCCATATTTAATAACTTGGATTCCATAAAAATAAGATTAAAGATGCCTTTTTATTTACCAGAAAGCTATTTAATTTTCTCCCTGATTAAAAAATTATAGCTTTTAGATCAGTTCAATCAGGCAATTAAAGATCAGAGCTTCTAAGTTCAACTAAGGCAATTAAATAGGTAATATACTTGTTTATACACTTTTGCTGTATAAGCTCATTGCTGTACCTTCTTAAAAGCCCATATATTCATTTTTGCTTTCTCTAAATGAATGATGATGGGAATTCTAGCTGAATATGTGTCACATTGTCAAATCAAAGGCGGTGGTCCTTCTGCGGGGGGTGAGGGGTGGTTACAGGGACTTTGAGAACAGAATGAAAACAAGAGGGTACCGAGAAACACTCATGAGCCGTCTGAGTTTCTTTCTTCTTTGTCTTGATGTAAATACCTGTGTTCACTTCCCATCGTCATTTTCTTCCCCACAAATGCTGCCCCTAGAGCCAGGGTCTTGTACTCATGAACACAGACTTTAAAAGATTAAGAAATAGAGGTTTATTCAGTTACCTAATGAGAAAAGAGGCAAAAAACGATATCTCACATTTAAATAGCTTCCTTGGAATACTGTGGTCCTGGAGTTTTAGCTTAAAAAAAAATAGATATACATATACATATACATATACATATACATATACATATACATATACATAAACAGACACACACACATACATATATATGTGTATACATACACACACACACACACACACACACACACACATACATGTATAGTATCTTTTGGAATGAGTAAAACCCAGTTAATGACGTCCAGACAAGCTGGTGAACATTAAGAGTCTTCTCTGCAGTGCATAGGAGAAGGACACCTGAGCAGTAGAAGGGAAGGACACCTGAGCAGCAACAGTGACAGACCACCCACCCCATGAGGCTTGTTAGTCTGGTACAGGTTAGTTTCTTTGTGTGTATTATGTCAACTGGAAATTTTCTTTAGGAATTGAAGTATAACAGTTACTGTTCATAATGGATTATCAAGTATTATATTCAATAAAGTTTTATTTATTTTGTTCTTTTAAAGATTTGGTTGAGATATATGTGAAAGTACTTCATAAACTATCAAAGCCTGATAATGAGTGCAAGTTTTTATTATATAATAACTATGAATTAATCACTTTAAGTTAGTAAGCATGTACCACTTCCAGATCGAACCAGGAATAGAGTTTATTATTCTTTGTATTACCAGGTCAAACATTATGAAAATCTTTTCTCTAAGATAGACACGTGATATCACATGAGGACATAATTATTAAAAATGTTTGAAAGTTCCACCAAGATTAACTACTATGGAAAATTGTCTTTATTAAATAGCACATGTGTGAGTCCCATAAGCATAACGTGTACTGACTGGGTAAAAACAAAGAAAATGAACAGTGAGAAAGTCTGGTAGACCAGATTTGACATTACAGCAAACATTGCAGCTTAACTTCAAAACATACATCGCCACTAATGAGGTGAGAGCCCTGCATATTAATAAAGCTGCAGCTCCAGTCATAGCCATCATTACCCACATCAAACATAAATACAAGATTAACACCTATGCCATTTCTTTGGAAGATGTGAGAATGCCCTGGCAGTAACTGCTCTCTCTTTCCCTGAGGATAAAAAATAGAAACGTAAGGGTAATGAGAATAGAGCTTAGATTAAGAAAATAAAATTGGCAATCAGGCTGGGGCAATCTTATACAGATGGGGAAGTTTATAGAAAGAAAAAAAACCTAGGTTGTTGATGTCCCAAGACATTTTTTGTATATATGAACTATTTTCTCTAGTAGAAGAGCTTTTTAATATTTTTTATATTACTTATATATTTTTTAATTTTTTAATGTTATTCTGAAGGCAAATGCTATGTGAATAGATTTTTATTTGGAGAAACTAAGTCTTGTGTTTCCAGTGTGCATGTTAGAAATGTTCTCTTCTACCCCTGTCTTTACTTTTGATAAATCTGGCCTCACACAGATCTTCCAATTGGTGCTACCTCAGATGCCAATGTCATGTTGTTAGTTCGTTCATCTAGCAACTATTTATTTAATACCTACTATGCTCCAGGCACTGCTCTAAGTACTTGGAATACATCAATGTAAAAAAATGAAAGATTTCTATACTTGTGGAACGCATTCTAGCAGGGATGGGGCAGGCTTGGGAAAGAATCCATGAAAAATAAATGTAAGAAAAAATACAGAGTGTTAGAAGGTGGTTACTAACATGGAGAAAAGAAAAAGGAGATCAGGCTTGGGGCAGGCAAAGGGTAGGTTGCAGTGTTCACCAGGTAGGCCTCATAGAGAAGATGAGACTGCAGCAGAGGCTTGAAGGAGGAGAGGAGCTAGTCAAGTAGGTTGATGGAGGAAGTTAGAGCATAAGACACCAGGTGGGATGTGTCTGGAGTGTTCACAGAACAGCGAGGAAGCCATTGTGTCTGCGGCCGAGGGCAGAAGCAGCCGTTAGGAACAGTTGCATAATCCAGGTGAGTCACAGGGGCTTAGACCAGGGAGACAGTTGTGAAGATGGGTAGAAGTGGTCAGATTCTGGATATATTCTAAGGGTAGAATCAACAGAATTTCCCA